GGTTTCCAATTATTTTTCTACGCATTATTGAAGTTAACGCTCCAACAAAATCGCACGTATCGAATTGTCCGTGGTAAATTTTCAGTTGTTTACGCGCGCGCGCCCGCTTTTTAAGAAAATTCAAGTCTTTTAAGTCAAGAAACCGTTAATGTCCTTCATTTAGTCTTGTCAGGGATTTAATTATCCATTTACATCCAAACTTTCTTCCAAAACTTCGGAAAAACGATAAAAACGTCGCATTTCGTGGACGACCGACAGCCACTGCACTCTATTGGCTGATAGTATACGAGTAGCTCGGCCAATCAGATTATAGCATTTGCATTAGTATAATTCTACTAAAACTCGATAGAAACACGGAGAACACGTTTTCTATTTCTTTTTTAAAAAAACAAAACTTGTTAACTTTGATTATCAAAATGTAAATTATCTTTGCTCGCACCATCATTACGCCAACAACTCGCGGTAGTCCTATGTTTCTATCGAGTTATAGAAACACGATTTTAAACCAACCACTGCGGGTATTTTCTTAGCGCTTTTTTCTAATTGTTCTTGATATAGGCAAGCCAGGGAGGTCTTTTTAGTACCCACGGAAACAGTAAACCCAAACATGGTCAAGTGGAAACTTTTTCATTGCTTTTCTTAACTGGCGCACACAGTAGTGTTTACTGAAAGGCAGCGTTTGCTTTATGGTTTCTTGTGTTTAAGGACGGTGCCTACTAAATACAAAGGTTTTGGCGCCGGGTTAGAAGCACGCCGAAAAAGTAGAAGAAAACTTGGGGTTAGCTTAGTTCCTTGCCCCCGAGTGGGGGATAGGGCCGAAAATTGGGGTAGCCACGCATTTTTCCGAGATAATCAGCCTTGAATATCAGCAAAAATGCTGACATCAGCATTTTCTGAAAAAAGAAGGAAAGGATATTTCTTGACAAATTTCCTTCGAATTCTCTTTTACAAACAGAAAAGCAAACACATTTATAAAGATCTTAAAACTCCATGATAAATGGTAACAAAAAATCCATTTTTGGTATGTTTTTGATAACAAAATCGTTGCAACAGCGTTTTTAGTGTCTCTGACAGCCTTCCTCTGGTTCAGCCAAAATACAGTCTAAATACTTTTTGCTCACAACCAGAAACTAATCACGTGTTGAACAGGCTTGCCACTTCCATTCATAACATAAAATGTGGGGGTAACCACGCGTTTTTTAAAGTTATCGATCTTTTTTTGAAAACTTCTACGGTGCCCGTTACATTTTTTCCTGTCACCTCCCCAGTAAGTAAAACATTTGCGTATTTCGCACTTGCTTTGCGCGCGCACTACGCCATCTGCAGGNTTTTAATAACAAAATCGTTGCAACAGCGCTTTTAGCGTCTCTGACAGCCTTCCTCTGGTTCAGCCAAAATACAGTCTAAATACCTTTTGCTCAAAACCAGAAACTAATCACATGTTGAATTGGCTTGCCACTTCCATTTCATAACATAATATGTGGGGGTAACCACGCGTTTTTTAAAGTTATTGATCTTTTTTTGAAAACTTTTACGGTGCCCATTACATTTTTTCCTGTCACCTTCCCAGTAAGTAAAACATTTGCGTATTTCGCACTTGCTTTGCGCGCGCACTACGCCATCTGCAGGTACTTGTTTACAGTTGGATTTCAGTATAATTTTCGCCAGATAACAGCTAGTTTTTCAGCTGGAAGACGTTAACAGTTAGTGGTTAGTGGTATGCTGCTATTTTGGTGTTCCTTGTCTAAGAACGGGTTCATTAACCTTGATTTGGTCACAGTTGGAAAATTTTGCTTTCTTTCTAGTTGATTGCGTCAATGTCAGCCCCAGCGCGCGCATGGCACTTAAACCATGCCTTGCGGGATGCGCAGAAAGTATGCGCAGTAACAAAAGTAGGCACCGTCCTTAAGTGCATTTAAACCTGGTTTACACCCACACAGAAATGCCAAACTAAAAATTCTAATTCCTTTATAATACTTAAGGACAACATAAGGAGTATGCTTATTCTTATGTTGTGTTTATGTCGAGTGTAAATGAAGCCATGGTAGATTAGATACAGAAGCTTAAAGATTTGCAACTACAACCAGGTTTTTGTGGCCTGTGGTGTGCTGAGTTGTCCTATTACAGGATTCCACTCAGCTTAAATGTATATTTTTTCCTTTATTTTTTTAGCATTATCTTGACCCACCAAAGAAGTTGCAAGAGAC